ATGACCTTACCTTTCAGAAAAAATGTAAAATGATGGGTTGGTCTAACACCAAGGCTCAACTGTTTGCTGTCCAATAAGGAATATTCCACACCAGAAAAGCTGGGAAGTGGGAGGTAGAGAACGAAGTGCAAACAACAGAGGCCTCACTTATACCTGACAAAGATGATGTCAAGGTAAAATTCGGCAAGAAAATAAAACTGTCTGACACACTAATAAAGGGAACAGTCAAAGACACAGTGGTTGTAAGTATATATGCACGGAATGCTGCTGCCCCAGTTTAAGATCAATTCTTTGACGTAAAGGGACAGATTATGTCCAGACGCGGTAACAGTGAGTGGCTTCCACGTTCACGCTCACTAACATGAGACAGACCACCTGGACGGAATGTCCTAGTTCAGCTGGGTGTGACATAACACTTAGAGATGACTGCATCCTGCAGTCCCAGACCACGTACTCTTCAGCAGCCCAGAGCACAGTTTAGGCCACAGAGCACTCCTTAAAAATAGAACAGAACTTCTCTTCTCCTATCCAAACATAAAGGAATGCAACTAGAAATCAGTAGCTAAAACTGCAGAAAATATTTTAAAAATAGAGATTAAACAATGTGCAATGATCGTGGGTCTTTGAAAAAAAATAGGAAGAAAAGAAGAAGATTCTGAGGGTCAAGTGAAAATGAAAACACAGGCTGGAGAGTTGGCTCAGTGGTTAAGAGCACTGGCTGCTCTTCCAGAGGTTCTGAGTTCAATTCCCAGCATCCATACTGTGGCTCACAATCATCTGTAATGAGATCTGGCGCCCTGTTCTGGCCTGCATGTTTACCTGCAGGCAGAGCCCTATACATAATAAATAAAATCAAGAAAGGAAAGAAAGAAAGAAAGAAAGAAAGAAAGAAAGAAAGAAAGAAAGAAAGAAAGAAATGAAAACACAGCTTCCCACACAGTTGGATTCCCAAAAAAGAATTATTTCCAATTTCCACTTTTAAAAAGTCCAAGAAAAAGTGACTGTCTTTCTCCTTTCTCGAGGGCACTGGAGGAGAAGGGGGACATTCAGTTTGGGGAGTTTGTTTCGAGACAACATAGAAGAGAGGGGCTTCTGGGGTGTTGGCTGAGGAGGAAGGTCAGCTGGGTGCTTTCTCTGCCTCTCTGAGCTAGCATGCTTTCACCCCAGCATTTGGCTCCTAAGTCTTCACTGGTAAAATCAAATGATTGAGATTTTGTTAACAACACAGGAATAAGGTCCCTAACTGGTTATCCAGTACCTAGTGATTAGTCCCCAAAGCATATACATACAAACACCTCTAAACAGACCCACCAGTTTTTAAAATGTATTTATTTATTATATATATAAAATATGTATAGTAATATTGTAATGGTAAAAGTAAAATGCTGCAGGTCCCTGAGTGGTGACAGTCGGCAGCAGGCCCTGAGAGCAGCAAATACCAGATAGTAACAGCGCAGTTCCCCAATTGGCTGCAGTGAGATATCAGGGGCAGTGAGTCCCAGGCAGGGACCTCAATGAGGCAGCCAGTCCCATGAGGAGAGATAGATAGATGGGCACGCAGGGAGACCATGCTGCAGGTCTCAGAAGATGGCTAGTCTGGGGCAGGGATCCACGGGTGGGCAAGAGACAGATGGATAGGCCTGCCATGCAGAGAAATTGGATATTTATCTAGTGAGGGAGGGACAGAGTAGGGGGAAGGGAGGGGGAGAAGAGGGGAGAAGGGAGAGACAGAAGCTGCCTCTTTGAGAGGGAGACAAAAAAGGGACTCAGGCTGGAAACTGAAGATCAACTTTCTTCGGTGGACCAGGGAGGGAGTGGGCATGGCTTGTCTCTTAAAGAAACAGAGCAGACCATTACATATTTAAAAGTGAGCAGGACCTGGGGGAGGGAAGAGAGCTGGAGAGAAGAGGACTGATGTATTTTAATTAAAAATAAAACAATTTTTAGAATTTGTATTGATAAGAGTTTCTTTTCTAGTACCCATGGCCCATGCTGTGGCCGAGGGCAGTGTTGATGTACACAGTCTGTACTGCCGATGGAGACCATGTTTAGGGCTGCATCTCATGCTGATGCTGCAGATCATGTGGATGTCTGGGGTTCATGCTGCTGCCCAGAAGCCATGGGCAAAGCCAACGAAGCTACTTTTGTGTTATAAAGTATATTCCTTTATACTGTGTGAAGATGTGTCACTTTGAACGGTTTAATAAAAACCTACATGGTCAATAGCTAGGCAGAATGTAGAACAGGGACTTCTGGACAGAGAGTTCTGGGAAGGACAAAAGGGAGTCACCCATCAGATGGAGAGGAAGCAGGACCAGCAGTGAAGAGTAAAGGTAACCAAGTTGAGCAAAAGATATGTGTTGTAACGAGGAGTGGCTGGTGGCTTTCCCACTGTCCGGCTCCTGGCTAGTTTACACCTGAAATAATTACATGGAAACTGTATTCATTTAAACACTGCCTAGCCCATTAGCTCTAGCCTCTTATTGGCTAACTCTCACATATTGATTCAACCCATTTCTAATAATCTGTATTGCCACTTGACTGTGGTTTACTGGCATGAGTCTAACCAGCGTCCATCTCGGAGAGGTGAGCCATGGCATCTGCCTGACTCTGCTTTCTTCCTCCCAGCATTCTGTTTGGTCTACTCCACCTATCTAAATTCTGCCCTATCAAAAAGCCAAGGTAGTTTCTTTATTTGACCAATGAAAGCAACACATAGAAAGAAGACCCTCCTACACCAGATATGGGTTGATTTAAGTTATAAGAGCTAGTTAAAAACAAGCCTAAACTAAGATCAAGCTTTCATAATTAAGAATAAGTCTCCATATCTTTTTTTGTGAACTGGCAGCCCAAAAAGAAAATTCCATCTACATACGGCACCCAACGTCCAGCCACATAAGGCCTGAAGAAAGTTTAAAAAAGTTCAAAACATGGAGTCAAACACAGCTTCCTGGTGACTGAGAGCTTGGCATATGGAGACTGTCTGCTGGTTGGAGCCAGCCACCAGCACTATGAACCAGTGCCATGCACCAAGCTGAACTGAGCCAGCAGCTGACATAGCAGTTTAAAATTTATCTCACATGATCAGAGAATGTTACAAATGCTTAGTAAAGACAGATCCAAGCAAACAACAACAACAACAACAAAAAACCCTCTAAACTGGCTACAGTGTTTAAAAAATGTGCATAGGCTTAAAAAAGAAAAAAATAGGTATAGACAGTCATCCAAAAATTGTTTATAAATAAAAAGATAAAGTCCTTAAAGAAAAAATAATATAAAAAGAAGATAAGTCAAGTAAAGATGGAAAATACACAGAGAGTCTGACTCCTCTATAGTATCTTGTTGACTTTAAATTTTTTGATTGCTGATAAGTGAACAACAGCTGTTGGGGGAATTGGAATTATAAAACTACTAAATTAAACCAACCTACATATTTTTAAAATGTCTTAATTTCAAAAAGGAAGTCAAAAATATTTTACATTGGGGAAGAGGTTATGCTTCTGTTTCCACAAAAAAACAAAAGGCTTTGGATTCATTCAAGGTTGATAGAGATCAGATTTGATTGGAGGAGACCACCCTGAAAATCCTGGCTTTATAAAGAAATAAACCTAGAAAAACTACAAGACAGGTAACATATATTTTGCCTACTCAAACATAAAACAAAAATAATCTTTGGCAGGCTTATGTACAAGGGACAGTCCATACTTGTGTTAATGTCGATATGTATGTTATCTTTGAAACTTTATGTTTTCAGAGCAATGTGACACCAATGAAAACATGTGGCCCAGGTGAGTTAGTCTCTCAGAATGTCTCTGTTGTTTCCTCAGAATTCTACATCCAGAACAACTTGAGTTGTTTATCTAAAAAGATATTTAAAATCTAAAAAGATATTTTTAGGATGTTAATACAAGGTCTAAGATAGGATAGCTAATGGAACATTTTCTCCAAATTTGTCAGTGCAAATGGACTGGAGATTGTAAATGCAATTCTTACCTGATCATTGTTCTTATATATAGTTTTACTGTGTTAGTTAAAACCTTTCTTTTTTGACAAAAAAGAGGAAACCTGGAATATTCCTTTATAGTGTGTGAAGATGTGTCACTGTGACTGGTTTCATAAAAAGCTAAATAGCCAATAGCTAGGCAGAAGGTATAGGTGGAACTTCTGGACAGTGATGGTTCTGGGAAGGAGAAAAGGAAGTTGCCAGCCAGATCGGGAGAGGAAGCAGAATGGGAAGTATAGATATTGAGTAAAGATAACCGAGTCATGTAAAACAATGAAAATTAAAAGATATGGGCTATCTTATAAGAGCTAGTCAGAAATAAGCCTAAGCCAAGGCTGAGCTTTCATAATTAACAAATATCCGTGTCTTTTTTTTTTTGTCAACTGGAAGTCCAAAAAGAAAAGTCTGTCTACACGTTTGCAGTGGCATCAATGACTGAGAAAGAGCGACAAAGGCTTCTGTGACAACCCCAACCCCACCATATCTCCCTGAAAGTAACAGCCTAGACAGTAAACCAATGAAGAGAACTCTTAAAAATTGTGAAAAAGAGGCCAGGCAGTGGTGGCGCACGCCTTTAATTCCAGCACTTAGGAGGCAGAGGCAGGCGGATCTCTGAGTTTGAGGCCAGCCTGGTCTACGAGAGCTAGTCCCAGGACAGGCTCCAAAGCTACAGAGAAACCTTGTCTCAAAAAATAAACAAACAAAAAAGAAGCACAATTAAATCCCCTGGGATCCGTCCATCTATGATGGCCGGGTTCTGGCTGCCCTGCTTCCCTTGCCCACTCGGTTCCACGCTCGCCCCTCTCTGCCCAACTCCGCCACCCTGGTCCCTGTGGCGGGCTACACCATCTACGGTCTCGGGCCAAGCCAACTTCAAGCGCCCTTTTTCTCAGCAGAAGCCACTGAACACAGCCAAACATCGCCGCAGGTTACAGACAACGAAAACAGTCTCCTCCACCAGCGTGCCCGGGTACTGACGTCACATCGGGCGCCGGAAGCTGAGACGTCATCTTGCTGCGCGAAGCCAGCGGTTGTTGACAGGCCGTGGAGGCGGCTGGCAGGAAGGTGTGGTGTTTTCTACCATGCCTGAGTGGGCGAGCTGCCCTGGGCTGAGGCCTCTGGGCTGGGGTTGAAAGAAGCTGATCAGATGCAGAGTCTGGAGGGCTCGGGGGCCGGGCGGTCAGTCGGGACGCAGACTGGCAGCATGACGGGTGAGTGCGGGGCGGGCCCTGCAGCCGTCCGCCTTCTCTCCCGGGGTGTCTCTTGCCCTCGTCTGGCGCCCCGCCTGTCCCTGGTGTCCTTCCAGCTCCACGTCCTACCTACATTGTGTCCCCGCCGTGCTTGCCTCGTGCCTCCATCCCTCTCGGCACCCTTCCACCCTGCCAGCCCCGTGTCACCCTCCAGCTCGGCACCCGGTCTGCCCCGTGTCCTCCTCCAGCTTGGCACCCTGCTTGCACTGTGTCTCCTTCATGCCCTGCTAGCCCTGTGTCTCCCTCCTTCCCCGCGCCCTGCCTGCTTCGTGTCTCCCGCCGAGCACCCGGTCTCTCAGCAACTCCCGCCAGGCCGGCTGCGCCCCAGTCTCCTTGCCAGACGCATGTCCTGGGTTTGTGCTCCCCAGGCTCCCCTGCACTCCTGGTTGCGGGACCTAGACACAGTATCCCGGGGATGAAGAGCCTGGAATTGCGCTTTTGCTTTGATTCCAAATTCACCTCATGTGATGCTTTTTCTCAAGTTTTGCCTTCTGGTTGAAAATCAGGCGAGTTCTAACCCTTTTCTTATTAGCAATGCCTTCCAACGCAAACAAAATAAAACAACAACAAAGTAACAAAAACCTTCCTCCACGACAACGACGTCAGAGGTGAGGACTTGCCCCAGTTTATTTCCGGAGCTTCTGTGTCGGTTGTATTACTTTACCTATGGGGTGACCTGGAGGGAAAAAGGGACCCAAGTTTAGAAAGAGCCACTGGAGATCATTGAAAGTGAAGTTGTGGCCGCTCTTGCTAATGAAACTGTGCTTCTCCTACCCGCCAATCTATTTGCATCTCACAAGTAGGTTGGAGCTTAGCGCCTTTCACATCACTAGTGAAATTCTGAATGCCCTCTCTTTTGTAGGTCAAATACCAAGGCTTTCTAAAGTCAACCTTTTCACTCTGCTCAGTCTCTGGATGGAGCTCTTCCCAGGAGTAGAAGCCCAAGGGCAAAAGTCTCAGGTATAACTTGTTTCTGTAGATAGTTTTTACCCTTGGAGAAAGCAGTAGTCGTAAGTTTGATTTGTAGTCCGCATAGTCAAACCCAACAGGCCTTAAGACTTGAGAAATAGCATTATCACGGCATTCTGCTTGTTGAAAAATAAATAGCTCATTGCACAATAGCTCATCTTTCCAGTCTGAAAAGTTAGCCCTAGCGTATGCCTTGATTATCAGATATTAAAAGTACATTGTAGAAGTCAGGTTTGTTAGTAATTAAATATTAAAATTGAAAATCTTTTTAACTTCATTAGCAACATTTGATCTCAACATGAGTCTGTTTATACACACATAAATTGAGTCCTTTATTGATGCACAAGTTTTTTTAATTAGAATGTGTAAGTTTTAATTATGAAATGTCCTCATTCTGACAGAGATAAAGCTATTAGCATTCTCATGAAAGTGCCTCCAAGTTTCAGGGCTATAAAACTTCATTAGAAACAAGAGTTGATTCAGCTTCCTGTCTTTTTAAACAATGTGTCTGTGCCTCCTCCTCACCCTGAGGTGGTCTGCTTTTTGATGTCCTTTCCTTCATCCGACAGGTACCAGGAAAGTTTTGTTTGTTTAAGAGAAATAAGTTAGTTTTATTTTAAATATTTTATTTGAAATCTTGTTTAGGAATCTGGCTCACACCTGTATCAGTTTACGGCTATTAAATTAAAATATTAACTAGACATAGAAATAAGTACAGGGGTCATCAAAATGAATTCTTATTTTCTAAAAGTCAGCTAACTTAGGAAGAGGCTTGGCCTAGGAAAGCTTACTACTTATATATCCTGACCCTTCCCTGCACTGTTCACTGTGTTAATGTTTAACTGAATGTGTTTTACGCCCATGTTCCCCATAGCTGTCAAGCCAAAGTGTTAGGTAGGCTTTCCTCTTGTTCCTTAGCTCTAAGCCTTGCGACCCACAGTACTGGACTGAAGCACCTTCAAGAGTACTCTAGCAGTGCACTTGAGGACTTGGTTATCACTTTTAACAGGTTTCCATGGAAAATGTGTTTTAGCTACTAAAAAAGCAATTTTACAAAGTGCATAGATTATCGTTATCACCTCTGGATGCATCTACTGTCAGGAAAGCAGATGTGCATGTTAGTTTCATCAGTTCTGGTGCCATGGCTGCTGCAGAGAAGAAAACCAGTGATAGGTTTGGGGAGGAACAAATGAAAGGGAGCACATGACACCCCACTTTCATCCTTTTTGTTTAAGCATTTTTATTGAAGCTGAAGATAACTCAATAAACCAGCAGCATTAAAAAAATCATACTGTGCATGCTTTCAGGAGGGTTCTCTTTGTGCTAGTTAATATCCTTAAATAACCTTGCAGTTTTGCCTATGGTAGCACTGCCTACAGTGGGCTGGGCCCTCGTATACCCATCATTAGTTAGGAAAATACCCTAAAGGCGTGCCTATGGGCCTGCCTGATAGAGACAACTTCTTAACTGAAGTTCTCGTTTCCTAGACGCTTCCAGGTGTTTCAGGTTGACAAAACTAATCACACAGAGTAAGCACAGATGCTCCAAGATGCAATTGACATGTAACTGTATAAAATATTTTTATGAGTTCCCAAATTAGTTTGTGTTCATTATTTTAAAAGGAACAGAAGAAAAGGTCTTCATACTTTACTACCTAGAGACTGTTGACATGTTTGTATTATTTTATCCTTTTTCTTTTTTTATTATACTTGCTTGAAATACTTTATTCTGGATCTTTTTGACCAAATGTAAGACATACATATGCTGTGGCATTATGTGCGTGGGCAGCAACTTTGTCTAGTGTTTTCAGAGCAGCCAGGCTGCCTGGGTTCCATTCCAGCTCAAGCTCTTGGTAGTTTGTGTAACTTTGTGTAAGATATTTTGTTTTTGTGTCAGCTTCCTTTTTAGCACAGTGGAAAATCACGTGTACATGCAACATGCCTTGCTTTGTTCTGAGGTCCTGTCGATTGAGCCCATAGCCGTGTACATGCAAGGCAAGTGCTCCAAACCCTGAGCACACTCCCAGCCTATGTGGAGTTCTTACACGTAGTGAATGAACTGAAAGCTCTCTTCATGCCTTGCACTGTGTAGACTGTGTTTGGATAAATTGTAGAACAGTGTGTTGGCGGACATTTACATTGCCACTTTTGCCAAATTTAATATTTAGCGGGTTTACTATATTTACAAATATGACTAGTGTCTGAGTTCCACTATGCTACCAAATACTTACATTGTTCAGCAATAAAAGCAGAATTTTAAAGTGTCTAATCAATGATTGGAAAAGAACTTGTCTATTGAGGCTTAGAAGAAGTCTGAGAGACAGTTAATAAACAGTTTTGAATTAGAAGTTAGGTACTGTGAAGATGGCTAACATTACTTTCTTTGGTACTGGTTCATGCTTTCTTTGTAGTGTAAATTATGTGGCCTTACTTGCTAGCTTGGATATGGTTTGAGTCTGTATTCAAGCATAGTGAGATGTCAACACAGAGCTTCATAAGGGGGAAGATGATCCAGAGGAAACCAGCCCGTAAATACTGAAATGTATTTATCCTATACATTGTACATATATAATTCTTCATATTAATCATTTCCTTCTTAATCTGATTTTAATTAGAAAAATGAAGAGGAAAACCGTGGCCCCCTAGGAGATAATGAAGAGTTGGCCAGAGTATCTGCTGACAAAAAACAGGTGAATTGTTGTGAATTTTAAAAAGATATACAAGCTCATAATCAAAAGCAAAAGGAATGGATAGAGTCCTGTACAAGACCTCCCGTGCTCCGGGGAGCTGCTCAGATTCTCCTAAAAGGCCTCTTGTGTACTGACAAGCCTGTATGCCTTTTCTGTTTGAAAACCTCAAGTGAGAGTTGTCTGTAATGTTCTCCTGCTTGTTTTGTTTTCAAGTGTAACTTCTAATTCTGTTTCACATGGATGGATTGAGCAATGCTCCTGATCTAATTCTGTTTCACATGGATGGACTGAGCAATGCTCCTGAGCTTCTCCACACGTGTTTCTTGGTTATAATAGTGAGAATGCAAAGCCTAATTAGTCTTTACCTTGGACATTCCTGAAGAGCTGAGGTAGTATCTCCCTCTGGGACCAACAACAGGTTGGTTTGCTTTTTGCCTTCAAACACCAGGATACCAGCCTTGATGTTTCTCTCTACATAGCCATTGTGGGTCCAAGCTGCATTACGCCCTGGGGAACTAGAGGGTGTGGACCACCACACACGCTTCTCACTCTTTGGAGTCCTCTGGCCCTGACCCAGGAGTTTCATGTTTTCTCTTATATCTAAGAAACATGGGCCATCAGACCGAAAGACCGGGTATTCCTTGTCATGCTACCTGTAGCTTCCGGAGATGGCTGTTCATCACATGCAGAGAATAAGCACATGTGTTTTGTAGCGTTATTATTCTGATGTCTGTCTGTATAAGTTTCCTGGTTAGTTCTGGGAGTGAGGCTCTTCACTGCCTGGTGTGATTTAGAAATAGTTTGCTAGATATTTTCAGTAGAAGAGAAACACAAAGGGAAAAAAGTAGTGAATCACCAAAGTAAATACACTGAAAGGTGGTCCTGTTCCATCATTTTTTAATGTAAACCCCTATGACTAAGATTACATAGAAGCGGTCCAAGATGTGCGTGAAGTGAAACAAGCCAGGACCCTGAAGAGTGGTTCTCAGAAAGTCAGTGTGCTGGGGCTGTAGCAACTAAAAGAAAGTCCCAGGCTGGAACACAATTTGGGCTTCCCATTTGGGATGAAAATTTTTATCTCAAACTAGATACATTGGCTTTAGCTAGAAGCAAAATTAACAATTTTTTGATTGTTTGTTTGTTTGAATGGGGGAGCAGTGTTTTGTTTGTTTGTTTGTTTTGAGATGAGGGCTTCTCTATGTAGCCTTGGTTGTCCTAGAACTCACTCTGTAGACCAAGCTGGCCTCAAACTCAGAGATCTACCTGTCTCTGCCTCCACGCGCTGGGGTTAAAAACATGTGCCATCACGCCCAGCTATTTTTATTTTGTTTTAAAAGGACTCAAAAAGTGATAGACTTGGCCTGAAAGATTGTTCCAGTAAGAGGTTGATAATGCACTTCCTGTGTCTTGGAAACGGTGTCACATCCCATCATTTATTTCTGGTTTATTTCTGTCTGCTGACAGTGTAAAGCCAATGCCATTCAGCTGAGTTGAAGCCACTCTGTTGGCCATGTTGCCTCAGTTTAACAGTGTTGGCTCTGTGCCCAGATCCTGTGCTAAGGCAATTTTCAGTGGTTGCTTTCTAAAGTGAACAGTGTTGCACTCAAACTTGCTGAAAGAAGATAACATACACTTTGTATTCAGGGAATGTACAGCTATACTTTAGATGAAGAGGGGAAGGTTTGTAAGTTTGGAGTCAAATGCATTACGTTTTAGTTGTGCCCTTACCTTTAATAGCTGCGCTATCATTTTAGCATAAGCTAAGGCTAGCTTGGGCTATATAATGCAATCCTGACTCAAAAAAAAAAAAACAAACAAACAAACTTGTAATTTTAGAATTGAGATGATGCCTGCTTTAGTTCTGCCTTTACCACCTGTGATTCTTCTGAGGTGTGCATGAAACCCAGAGGATTTCCTTACACCATCATGAAGCTTGTAGTGAAGTAATCCTCACCTGGATGGTGGAAGAAACCAGTCAGCTGGCTCGGCCTGTGGCCTTTATTAGGTTAAAATGAGTTCATCTTTCACTAGAACCAAGTAATAATAGTCACACATGTAATTAATCAATAGTCTTAGTTTTGGAAGTTTCTCTTCTAAAGTCAATATGAAGTTCTCAGAAATTCTTTGTGAACCTAATTAGAAATCTATTTTTATGAAGACTGTGTTTAGGTAAGAAATGAGCACAGCTTTCATCATTAGAAAATCAAGTATTACCCATGGAAGGACAGTATTAGTCATAACTAATAATTTATTATTTTGTGTCTTAATTAGGTGAAGAAAACTGGTCTTGTGGTGGTGAAAAACATGAAAATCATTGGTCTTCACTGCTCTAGTGAAGACTTACATACTGGGCAAATTGCTCTTATCAAACATGGGTCCAGGCTGAAAAACTGTGACCTTTATTTTTCAAGAAAACCGTGTTCTGCTTGTTTGAAAATGATTGTGAACGGTGAGTACAGATAAGGTGGTGCTGGAATTTAGCTCCTTTATCAGAGAGCAGCCCTGAGGGAAGACATTGCCCAAATACACAGAGATAATGTGGGAGTGGAAATGCTTGTTTGAAGACCATTTACATGTTGTCAGAGGATAGGTCTGAAAATGTGGACTCTGAGCTCAGCCTTGCCTACTGATTAGCTAACTGACCTTTGGTAAATTATAGGCTGACGCTAGTTTACAACAGAACCCCCAAATTTCAGTGGCTCAAGAATGCATTTCACCCCTACAGTTGTAACACGCAGGCGCTGACAACAGCAGGCGGTTTTGTTGACATGGTTGGTTTGTGGGAGTAGACATCATTCTTCTCCCTGCTTTTATCAGAACTGAGATCTCACTTGAGTCCTCTGCATCCAGAGAAGGCATATCTGCTTCTTAAAATCCTGCTTGGGGGAGAGCGGCTGGGGATTGTAGCTCAATGGTGGAGTGCTTGCCTAGCATGGGTGAGGCCCAGGTTTTTCCCAGCACCATAGAACCAAACAAGAGCTATGACTGGCAGCTACATTACATCCTTTCTGTTCACGTCATTGTGGGAGCTGTAGGCTCTGGCTGGGCAGCTGTCTTTCTATTCTAGTTTCTTTTATGTTGTAGTAACCACCATGACCAGAAACAAACATGGAAAGGAGATGATTTATTTGACTTTCAAGTCCAGATAAAGTTGATCATTAAGAGAAGTCAGGTAGGAGCTCAGTTCAGGAACTGCTTGCTATCTTGCTCCATGGCATGCTCTGCCTGCTTTCCTGAACAACCCTGGGAATGGGACCACCCCCTTCTCTGGGACCTTACACACCAATCATTAGTAAAGAAAATGCCTCACAGACATGGCCACAGTCCTGGATATAGAGGCAATTTCAAATCAAATTTCAAATCAGATGGAGGCAGTTTTCCAATTTCTTGAGATTCCCTTTTCCTAAATATGTCTCAGTTTGTGTAGAGTTGACAAAAACTAGCCAGCACACTCCCAAAGGTTACTATATACCCTGGAAGGTCACACAACACGTGACTGCTTCTCATTCTATTTTATAGATAGGTAAATAAGCAGGTGATTGTATCATTTTAGAGAATGTATCTTACATATGGGCACCTGGTAGCTCTAGAAGAAAGAAGACAACAAATATGACTCCCATCCTTTTCCTCAGTGACTTGGTATCAAACACGGCTGTAAGTGATGCAGGAGCTCAGAGGCCTGGGTGCTGTGCTGAAAGCTGTGGCACAGACCTGATCTTCATGGCTGTGTTAGGTTCTCTTCTATTTCTGTGATAAAGCACCACGACCAAAGCAACTTCTGCACAAGTTTATTTGGGCTTCTGGTTCCATAGGATTATAGTGCATTAATGGTGGGGGACATAGCAGAAGGCAGGAAGTTGAGAGAAAATAGGAAGTGTGCAACAAGTCTACAAGCTACCCAAGCCCACCACAGGGAATTAGTTCCTCCAGCAAGACCGTATCCCCTAAAGGTTCTGTAGTCTCCCCCAAACAGACCACCAGCCAGACCAAGGGTTAAAAAAATCAAACCCAAAAGAGACATTTCTCATTAAAACCAGCATAGTGGGTTGGATGTAGAACAGGGGTCCTCATGTTGCTAGCCAAGGCAGCAGCACGTATAGTAATGGAGTCATGAAGCAAGGTTCAGCATTTGAACTGGAAAGGTATTCTTGTGGAGTGCTGGTGGATGGATTGAGGTGATCGGTCAGGCTTCTGTGGAGCACTCGGAAGACTGATAGCCTCTTGGTTTTATGTTATGGAACAGAACATAAGAAATAAGAAAAGTCATCTGTTTCATTAGCCCTCAGCCAAGTACACCTCTCTTGTGTTCTGCATGAATCAAAACTGAAGCAATTGCTACAAACTATAAGTATATAAAGCATTACTACAAATCACAGTATGAGGGTTGCATTAAGGACCATGTAAATGATATGAGTTCAGAGTGAACTGGCCTACTTCTGCATGTGTCTTAGTAAGGTTTTCTATTGCTGTGCAGTGGTTGTGAGTACTTCCTGTTCTTGTGGGGAACCCAAGTTGTTCCCAGCACGCAGATCAGGTGGCACACAACTGCCTGTACTCCAGCTCCAGGGAATCTAGCTACTCTTTTGACTTCTGTGAGCGCTAGAACTCATACGTACCTAATAAAATGTTTTTATTGCACATGTCCATGAATAAATAAAATAAAAACTTAATCTTGTTGAGCTGAAATGATGTAAGATGGTGGCAGAAAATTTTCTGTTGTAAACTATTCATAATTAAACGCTTGATGCTTGCATAGCAATTTCATTTAACCTTATGTTTTCATGCTTGTTATCTAGCTATGTTTCTTTTACAAGTTGCCTGTCCATATCTTTTGTTTCTCTTAAGGTCTTATTTTTCTTATCAACATGTACTTCTGTTTAATGAGCTAATTGTGTTTCTGTGTAGTAAAAACTACTTACCTTTCCTTTGTCGTACTGAGTGAAAATTATTCTGCAAGTTTGTTGTTCTCTTTGACTTACAGGCTTTTTTAAAGATTGGTGATGCCCTTCTCATCACTCCATCTTCATCTATGAAATTTTTCTGTTAAAAATTCTTTGTGGTCAACAAGAACAAAATGTGTAAAATAATACCATCATGAAACTCATTACTTCGTATGCTAATTTAAAACTAGTTAACAAAACCAAGGTTAAAGAAAATGAAAGCAACACATTTTAAACCAGAAACTTCTTGGTGGGCGTTAATGAGGAGGGGTCCATCATGTGTTTCCCCATCTTGATTGTCTGGATGAGAAGTCACATTATTTATTTCCGTTTTGATTGTCTGGAGTTGTTTTTAATTCAAAGAATGCTGCATTAAAAGCATGAACATTTTCCTCTCTTTAGAATATAGCTTTTCAGAAGAATGCTGAATCTGAGACAGGAACATTTTTAGTGCACAAATATATTATTTATAGTTATTTAGATACAAAACTCTAGGCCTTACCAAGTATTGGCTATAACATTTCCAGAGGCAGCCATGGCAATATGGAAAACCTTGGTGTATAAATATTTCAGATTTTGCAGGCAATATAGTTTCTACTGTGTTAGTCAAGTCTGCCATTCGAGGGTACTCATTACATATGTAAATAAAGGGTTGTGTCTTTGAATGAATACAAACACTGAAATTTTAATTTTTCATAATCTCATGTGATAAAGAATATTCTCTTGTAAAGCCCATATTTAACCCATCAACTGAAAAAAGACTGGCCATAGACCCATTTGGCCTATGGGTATTTGTTTGCTAACCCTCATATTGTGTCAGTGACAGTGTAGATGTTTGTCTTGGAAATGGTAGGCTGGGTTTAGATAGAAAGCCTCTATTATGCTTATATCAAAACAATGACCTTTTATATTTTTATGTTTTAGCTGGAGTTAACCGAATTTCTTACTGGCCTTCTGACCCAGAAATAAGTTTGCTCACCGAGGCTTCTAGCTCTGAAGATGCAAAGCTAGATGCCAAAGCAGCAGAAAGGTTGAAGTCAAACAGCCGGGCCCATGTGTGTGTCTTACTCCAGCCGTTGGTGTGTTACATGGTGCAGTTTGTAGAGGAAACCTCTTACAAGTGTGACTTTATCCAAAAGACTGCAAAAGCACTGCAAGGTGCTGACACTGATTTCTATTCTGAGTGTAGACAAGAAAGAATAAAAGAATTTGAAATGTTATTTTTGATTTCAAATGAAGACATGCATAAGCAGATACTGATGACTATAGGTCTGGAGAACCTGTGTGAAAACCCCTATTTTAGCAATCTCAGGCAAAACATGAAAGACCTGATTCTACTTTTGGCCACAGTAGCTTCCAGTGTGCCAAGCTTGAAACACTTCGGATTCTACTGTAGCAACCCAGAACAGATTAATGACAGTCACAACCAAAGCTTGCCGCAGGAAGTTGCAAGGCACTGCATGGTGCAGGCCAGGCTATTGGCATACCGAACTGGTGAGTTCAACGCTTAGTTCATAAACAGGGGCTGAATGGTTGGGTTACCAGCAACACTGAGGTGAAGTGGCTTCCTATCATCCATGGTAGAGTTCCTGGACTCTTAGGTACTAAAGCATTGCTGCTCCAACAGCGTAGAGGAGTTACCCCGGCCTTTGTGTATTCCATGTTCTTAATTCAGCACTGCATTTACAAACCAGGACCAGGAGACCTAAGTCCTATTTGCTTCTTAAACAAATGGTCCCCATTACCCACTAAGTCCCTCAGTAAAAATGGCACAAAAAGAAAACTAGAATTTCTCATTTTTATTTACTCCACAATTTTTTTGTTCATACTCGGTTTTTTAAAAGATGCTTTTTATATATGTTAGTGTTTTGTCTGCATGTATTTGGTTTGTGCACCATGTTGTTTGTTCCTGGTGCTCTTAGAGCCCAGAAGATGGTGGGGTGGAGTCATGGACGGTTAGTTGTGAGTCACCATGTGGGTGCTGGAAATCAAACTCAGGTCCTCTGTAAAAGCAATAAGGGCTCTTAATTGCTGAGCCATCTCTCCAGCCCGTGCGTTCTATTTTTATTAAAAAGTTAGAATTCTGGGAATTTTTAAATTTAGAGGGAAAGAAATGAAGGTAAAAGAATGCCGTTACTGGGTTTCTGGTGATACATTCCTGTCAGCAAGTTAAGTGATCTCACTCTGCTGTGCATGTGTGAAAGGAAAATACTACTCAGTGATGTTCTTTATTTTGATAAAAAATGTAGCATTATTTTCATATCTAAGCTACCGTAATGTTTTTCAATGTAGAACTACCACTTTTTAAAATCCAATTTTGAAGTAAGGAGGGAAAATCCAGACAGGAGAAGTAGTGAAGACTTATTTGGGACATATGCTATAGTAGAACTTATTTTTTTATTCATTTATTTATTTACTAGATAGGGTCCTATGCAGTCCAAGCTCCCTAAGTAGCTGAGGATGACCTTGAACTTCTGACCCTCCTACTTCCATCTCAAGTGCTGGAATTACAAGCATGCACCTCCTGGACCTGATTTGTGCTGTGCTGAAGATGCAAGGAACCTAGGGCCTCATGCACACTAGGCAAGCACTCCACCAACTGAGCTACATCCCCTGCCCAGAAACTTAATTATCCCGAGAAAGGAGAAGAGAAGGAGAATAAGAAAGACCTGTACAGATGGCACTGGTCTTTAAAAGACCTCAGGTCGAGTAAACGGAATGGAGGATCTCAACCAACAATGTACAGAATCTCCATGGAAACCTTAAAAGGTACAGGTGCTCAAACCCACCCAGATCTACAACTGGGTACAGTCTAGGTCTTTAAAAGTTCTGCAAGGTGTTTTGATGTTCATCAGGGTTGATAATCCAAGTCTGCTTTGTAATGTAGAGTTTATATACTCTACTGTAAATTACCTTTTGTATTATACATATGTCCACTTACTATTGAGTTTTATATATAAATCCATGCTGGTACATTTGAATTAAAAGGGTTTTCAAGGAACAGTTTTTGTCAGTGGATTTTTTTTTTTGCAGGGGAAGGTTCTGGACCTCAACGCCTAGTTAAGATGAAACTTGACTATCACTTACTCATGTGACCTCTTCCAGAGGACAACCACTGGCATAATTAGCATTTTCCCTGAGAACTAAAGAGTGTTTATTAAATGGGGGGATCTTTTTATATTCAAAATAGTGGTTCAGGGGCTGGGAAGTCGCTCAGCAGGTCGAGTGCTTGCTATGCAAGCATGAAGACCTGAATTTGGGTCCCCAGCACGCCCCTGAAAAGCAGACTATGGCTACGTGTTTATAGCCCCAGGCCTGCAGCTGAAACAAGATTTATAGTCCAGCCAATAAATTCCAGTGAGAACTTCCTCCTAAGTAAGGTGAAAAGTGTTGTACAGCACCCAACATCAGCATTTGGCCTCTGGAGGCACACACAGGTACACACACACAGAGTTCATAATCATTAAAGCCCTTGGGGCGAGTGTAAAGGAGTTTAGAATTCGGGGATGTTAAGAATGTAAGGTGGTGTGTGCTATTCGGGCAGGCACTCCCCATTCTGGTTGGGGCAGTGCTCTGTAGACATGTTGTTGATAAAAGTAGGTGAGAGTAACCCCAAAGCCGTTCTTACTCACTCCACTGAGTCAGATATGAGTGTGACACAGCATCAGGAGGCAGCTGTGGATAACGCAGGTCCCTGGCCACTTTGCTCTGATTGATTAGGGCTTTTCACCAGAGCCAGGAGTCAGTCTTTTTATCAGGCACCCAGCAATTTCTATCAAGTGTTCTGTAAAACACACTTAGATCAAGGCCAGTGTTAGCATAGAATTACCTGTAATAGAAGCTGATGTGGAAGGGACCGCTGGCTTCTTGGAGAGGCAAGGACCTTTTTGCCAAGCCTGAGTTGCAGCCTGAGCTCTCGTCTTCCGTGCTGTGGACGATGAGAGCTCCTGCACGTTGTCCTCTGACTCCTGCAAGTTCACTGTGACATTCACGTGCACGTGCGTGTGTGTGCACACACACAAATAAAATTTTAAAAATTAAGGAAATAGATGTACCTGTAGGCATGAACAATAGACTAAAGAATATTCTGACTTCAGGGGTCAGCAAGCCTCAGGAATCTGTTTGGTGGTCATAAATTGGCCTTCAAAACTGCAGGGAAAAAAACCCCTGAAGAATAATCAGATTATAAGGGACAATTTTGAAAGAATTACAGATATGGTACATGCCTTTAATTCCAGCACTCAGGGAAGCTAAGGCAGGAAGACTGCAAGCTCAAGGCCAACCTGGGTTATCCAGCAAAATCCTATCTTAAAACAAACTGAAAACCAGGGATCATCCCTACTTGAAAAGAGGTAGTGACTGTTCTCTTACAATTAGCCCTTGCCAAGAAGCAGAAGTGCTGCCGATAGGAAAATGCTGTTTCCTTCTGTGTAGAGGTCCAGTCTGTCCCCAGACTGTGATAGAGATGGTAGCTCCCAAAACCAGAATCTGAATATAAGAAAGGTATTGGTGCGGGAGATGTGACTTTCTTTTGGAGAATTCCTGTTTTGTTTGGTTTTTATTTATGCATGTATTAAACTTTGCTTAGGTTTTGATATCTTAAGTAATTATAATATTGTGGTTATAATTTCCACCACTGCCTTAGACGTGAGCATGAAACATTACTTTATATTATTCCCCTGCATTAAACTATAAAGGTCTAGGAAGCAAGGGAATTTTGCTGCCAAATCTCGCCCCTGACACTGTAGCAGCCGTTGCCATAGGCTCCCCAGAGTCACAGGCACCTCCTCTCAGTGCAGCTTCCTCCTCCCTGCCATGCCCCCATTTGGCCATTAGCTGCTTGGGGATGGGACTGCCATCCCTCCCCACTCCACGGTCAGCCTTTCGCATACTTTGTACATCTGTGACACTCAGAAAATGAAAATTATTTTTAGGGAATCCTTAATGTCAGAAAGAGATGGAGAAAAGGCAGCTAGGTTGGGTTAAGAGAACTAACTTTTAGTTAATTGCATATATAGAAATGGAAATTTTAACTATTGATAGGCAAAAATGAGAACCTATATAAAAATACTTTTCAGAAAAATACTTATTTTACACTATAATTTTGAAAACCTGGATGTGCTTGAATTGCAAATAAGAAATTTTATTGCATAACTACAATGTTTTCAGTTAACGCTAAGGCAAACTATAATTTAATACAACAGTGGCAGGGCTTCTGTCTGTATTGTCTGTAATAGAAAAGTAGATGCTTAAATGCACTCTGATGGGCGAGCTTACCTTGAAGGAAGTTGTAGGATAGACAGTTGTACTCAACCCTCTTGTTGTATAAATGGCCCTTGGTAAGGGTACAGATAATTCTGTTTTGTTTTGTTTTATTTTTTCTGTAAATGTGATGTGGGATTCCCCTCTATATACTATGAATATGTTTTATTATCACTGGTTAATAAAGAAGCTGTTTTGGCCTATGGCAGGGCAGAATATAACAAGTAGGAAATCTAAGCAGAGATAGGAAAGAAGGCAGAGTCAGGGAGATGTTATAGAGTCACCCAAGAAGCAAGCGGTAACAACCATGAGCCTCATGGTAAAATACAAAATAATAGAAATGGGTTAATTTAAGATATAAGAGCTAGCTAGGAATATCCCTAACCCATTGGCCAAACACTGTTGTAATTATTATAGTTTTTGTGTGATTATTCGAGTCTGCATGGCCAGGAACTGAAAGTGCAGACTCCGTTTACATAAATGTACCTACTTTTATCAAAAGTAGTTTTATCAAAAGGGTTTTATCAAAACCCTTGCTGTGGTTTTGATAAATGCTATGGGTTTATAATTCATTCAAATTTGTTTTAGAAATTTGAAACTCACCCTAATGTACAAGGAAAACAAGACCTTAAGTAGAATTTCCACTTGAATTTTTTTTTCCAAAAATATTTCCACAAAGTCAGTTTTCCATAAGTTGAGTGTAAAAAATGTCAGAAAAAAATAAACTTGATTTTAGCACATGTTTATGCCTCTAAATCTATCATTCAGAAACTTCCTATTCCTTCTGCTTCTTCATGTGTTAAAAGTGGTCATTTAGATCCTGACCAGGTAAGAAGAGTCAGTGAGGCTGGGCTGTCACAGTTACAGCGTGGGTCGAATTTCCACTTGAGAGATGTTGACATGCTGAGTGAGGGTGGACAGTGGCCCTGCCCTGTCTGGTTATTTGGTATCTCATTCCCATATTCCACACCAAAAAGGTTTTATTTCAAGAGTTTTGTGTAGGTAGGACAAGGGATTCCTGCTGTTACATTTATGATGTCTGTTGCAGTAAATGTGTTTTTATTGTTTGAGAAGGAGGGACTCATCCAACTGAGAGTGTTGATTTTTACTGAGATAAACATCCTGTCTTTCAGAGGATCATAAAACGGGAGTTGGAGCTGTCATTTGGGCAGAAGGGAAAGCTGTAAGTATGAAATCATTCCCTCTCACATCTGAGTGATAGCAACTACAGCTCATGCTGTCTGACCTGCTGAAGTCTTGGGTTGTATTGACTGGGTTGATAGAATGCATTTTACTAATTTGTATAAACATCTGCACTTCCCTCAACTGATGACCGAGGTTTCTGTCCCACCTGGTCCTTCATCCAGTTAGTCCCAAATAAACACGCAGAGGCCTACATTAATTATAAACTGATTGGCCTATTAACTCAAGCTTATTAACTCTTATAACTTGTATTAGCCCATAATTATTGTCTGTGTTAGCCACATGTCTTGGTACCTTTTTTGGCAAGGCAGTCACATCTTGCTTGCTCTGTGTCTGGGTGACGACTGCAGACTGACTCTTTCCTCTTCCCTGAATTCTCATTACCCTGCCTCTACTTCCTGCCTGGTTGCCCCACCTCTACCCCTGCCTGGCTACCGGTCAATTAGCGTTTATTTAAAATACAAGAGACCATTGTCCCAGAGCACTCAACAGTTTTCAAGGTTCATCAACTAGCAGTCAAGAGAATGCCCCACAGACATTCCCATAGACTGGTCTGATAGAGACGATTCTGTTTACATTCTCATTCCAGATGATTCTAGTTTTGCCAAGTTGACTATAAAAACTAACCAGTACACTGGGCTTCTCTTTAAAAACGCTAAACTCTTAACCAAAAACCACTGATGGTTTCTCATCTCACTCTCCTTCCCTAGAACTTTAGACTTACTCCCCAAGCTTCATGTTCTTACCCTTTGCTCCGCTCTTTGCCCTTCCTCGCTGGATGAGAACAATGAGCAGTAACTGTACACAGCTTGAAGGCCATCCTGTCTTAAGTTATGTATCATGACTTTAAATACAGCGTCAACCAGGTTCTCCGGATATGGGAAGAAAGCAGCCAGACCGTTTTTCTATGATATCACAGTGTCAGCACACAGCCCAGCTCCTGATGGAGTTCTTGGTCCACAAAAAGTCTTATGAACCAGGCCTCCACTCTGTTTGTTTGGGGTTTTTGTTTGTTTTGTTTTTAGCACTTTTGTCTTCTGAGGTCCCGCTAGAACTACTAACATCAAAGACCATCTTGAAGTTACCTCTGAAGACGGCAGACTTAAGATGATCTGATACTATGTATCTATTTTAATCTTAAGATTTCGTTTACTTATTTGTGGTAGGTGATGTGTATGCCTCAAGACACACAGTTGTCCTCTCCTTTCACCTTGTTGATTTCAGGGATGGAGCTCAGCTCCCCACGTGGTGGCACATGCCTTTACCAGCTCAGCCATTTCTCCAGTTCAGATCTTGTATTTCCCGATGGCTCCATTTATTATAGAAATGGAGTGAACCTTCTTTACATGGAGTGTGAGGGCAAAGTGCCTTTCAGAATGCGCAAACTCACACGGTGCTTCTGCTGACCCTTGCAGAGAAGCTGTGATGGAACTGGTGCTATGTACTTCATAGGATGTGGCTACAATGCCTTTCCTGTCGGCTCAGAGTATGCTGATTTCCCCCACATGGATGACAAGCACAAGGACAGAGAAATACGGAAGTTCAGATACATCATACATGCCGAGCAGAATGCTTTGACATTTAGGTATGAGATAATTTTGCCTGCTTTTCTTTAAGATAGAGCAGAGGTTGGTTGGAGCTAGTTTTCTTTCATTGTCTTATGTTTTTCTTTTAAAACTCTCAGAAAAAGAATTTTGATAACGCTAGGTCCTGCTCCTGGACTGGAAGTATGGTCACGTTTCTTCAGAAATTCTTTCTCCTTACTCTCCATAGTAGGAACTACTAGAGTTTGTCCTTGGGGACTTGCACAGCTATTTTGGATGTTAGTATCCCCTTTGTTTTCTAGATTCAGAGCACATCTGTTACATTTATGAAATACTGGCTCATCATGTTTATTATTGCTGGGATGAAACATCATGACCAAAATCCATCGATCACTGAAAGGAGTCAGGGCAAGAATAGGGCAGTATCCTGGAGGCAGGAGCTGGTGCAGGGGCCATGGTGGATTCCTGGGAGGAATGCTGCTTACTGGCTTGCTCCCTATGGCTTATTCACTCTGTTTTCCTATAGAACCCAGATCCACCAGCCCAGAGGTGAGACAAGTGTGATCATGGTGGGTTGGGATGGGGTAATGGTGAACTCTGAGTTTAGACTGCCTAGGAGGCAGTTGTGGGGGCTGGGACATGTATTCATAGAGCAACACTGCACAGACCCCTTAGTTTCTGCTGTCCTCAGCCGGGTAAGCAGGAATGAAACTCAGCAAGATAGATCTAGAAGGTGCATAATTGAAGACAGTTGGCCGAGGGGGGTATCCACCAGACCTGGAGGTACAGTCCCTGCAGCCACACGAGAGCCTCTAGTCCGAGCTTCCGCAGCATGCTAAGAATATCCTCAGCTCTCCTTCCATCCTCCTCAGTGCAGGGTTCCTTGCTGTATTCTGGACGAAGGTTTGACACATCATATCCAAAACATTTGTAAAAAGTTATGGTTGGAGAAGGTTAAGAGAACTGTAGCTCAAAACTGGGCATTACCACTTACTCATTAAGGAAGCATCTCTCAGTGTATGTCCAGGTAGAGCTCAGTCTTTAGCTGCTGTGGTGGCTTAAGGAGAAGCAATTAGTTACTCAGCTCTTGGGGAACCGAACCCCATTCTCCAGGATCATGACGAAGTGCATGTGCAGAGAGGACCTCCCATGTATGTGCACTCATTTCTCCCTCCCCCATCCTCTGTTCTCACTTCCTTTTTAATATGATGTCCAATGTACCGATATGTTACCGTACAATCAATGAATTTCAGTTATAATGATTGTCATATTTTTGCATATTTTGAACATTTGCTAATTTAGCAAGCACAAGACTTGATCATTATTTGTAATATCACAAATTTGTGTTGCAAAATCTCAAATTTAAAGTTTAAGGATTTCTCTACAAACGTGCTTGCTCTTTCCTAACAGCTTTGTAATTTTATAGGTGTCAAGATATAAAGCCAGAAGAACGCAGCATGATTTTTGTGACAAAATGCCCTTGTGATGAATGTGTGCCTTTAATTAAAGGTGCAGGCATAAAGCAGATCTATGCTGGGGATGTCGATGTGGGGAAAAAGAAAGCAGACATCTCTTACATGAAGTTTGGGGAGCTTGAGGGTGTTCGCAAATTTACAGTAAGTACCGCACTTTTCCCAGAGTACTTCCTGTCTGGTAACCCGCTGAGCATTGCGAGGTAGCGATTCTCACTCTTCTAGGACTGTGAGTTGTCATCACTGGGCTCATCTTTATGTGTACAAGTTTACCAGACTGTAAGTGTTCAGCCCAGAACCCCTGGCCTGCACAGGCGTTTACAACTTGCAGAGTTGCTCTTTGGTCTTTGAAGTCTGGGTGCCCTCAGGTGGCTCACCGTGCCTCTGGGCTTGGGTAGAGGTGCAGCTCATTGAATCATCAGAGCACACACACCGTGTGCACGTTCTCATGAGAGAGCCCTGAAAGCATCAGAGCACACACACCGTGTGCACATTCTCATGAGAGAGCCCTGAAAGCATCAGAGCACACACACCGTGTGCACGTTCTCATGAGAGCCCTGAAAGCTACAGTGCCATGTTAGCGTTTTTCCTTTTCTCTTTTTCTTCCTCTGAGACAGGGTTTCTATGTGTAACCATCGTAGCTGTCCTGGAACTAGCTCTTGTAAACCAGGCTGACCTCAAACTCATAGAGATCCACCTGCCTCTGCCTCCCAAGTGCTGGGATTAAAGGCGTGCACCACCATCACCTGGCTCTACTTAATATTTTTAAAAAAGAAATAGAGATGGTTCATGGAAAACTCAGAATTTTTAACATACTTCTTTCTGTTTAGGCTTTTTGAAAAGTATTTTACTTTGGAATACTCTCAAGCATATAGAAAAGTTATAAGAATTCTGAAAAATACTTTTCCCAGAGGTTGTTGACATGATATAAAATTACCTTCTTGTAGTAGGAGGCTGCTTGTTAGTTCCCAACTGCCCAGACTCAAAATAACCACATAGAAACTGTATTAATTAAATGACTGCTTGGCCAATAGCTTATGTGTATTTCTAGCTAGCTCTTATATCTAATATTAACCCATTTCCATTATTTTATATTTTGCCATTAGTCTTGTGGCCTCCAGCAAGGTTCCAGCCAACAGCTCATGTCTTTCCCCCTCTCGCATCTACATGGTGTCTCTCTGACTCCACCTTCTTTTTCCCAGCATTCAGTTTAGTTTTCCCTGCCTACCTCTATTCTGCCCTGCCAGGCCCAAGACAGATTCCTTATTAACCAATGGTATTCACTGCATACAGAGGGGAATCCCATATCACCAATGCAAGGAGCATGGTGAAGCCACAGAATCAAGAAATAAAGTAAAATGTTGCTACAGTGAATCAAGGTTTTAGCCAGTCTCCTCTTATCCCAGTGATGCTCTAGTAGAACCATCTTGTCCAGGATCAGAGTCCACTCTGTGTCATCCAGGGTCCTGTCCCAGCTCCTAGTGCTCCATTAGTAGTCTAGAATTTACAGTGAGTAGGAAAGTTTATAACAAACTCTTTGAAAATTTCAGCCTTATGTTCCTGTTATATACAATTTGAGCACAGGTCGCCAGAGCATATTTGTACTATATACACATGTATATGTTATTAAAGCAATATGTGCTCAGTGCAGAAGACTAGGAACATTTCAAATTTTATGTTATTCTGTAACTTATAAATACCACTGTCAACACTGTATTTTCTGTGTTGTTAAAAGGTCCTAAAATTATATTTAATAATCTAACATATTCCAGCCAGAATACCTAGCTTATATAATTCTTTTCTTTGTTGGAGAACTATATTATCTCCATTTTCATAATTATAAAATCCTTTCTATAAATATTTTAAAATGAAACTTTTGAGTTAGTGATTTATACTGTTTTGCTCAAATTAATAGATTTTAGTGGTTTGGTTTACTTCAAAACATGCCTTTTTTGAAAATTTCTTATGTAACTTCCCACACAGCTTTCAAAAATCCCTCCCTCGTGTGTGTGTGTGTTTTATACACGTGCATGTATATGTGAGCTCACTGATGAATTCTCATATACCAGTCAGAGGCTGATGTCATCTTTCTCTATTACTCTCCATCTTGATTTTAGAGACCAGATCTCTTACTGAGTCTGAGTTCAGCAAATTCAGCTAGACAGGCAGCAAGTGAACCCCCAACTCTAGGGTTACAGGCACTCAGCACTGTGCCTGGCATTTATGTGGATGCAAGGAGTCTGAACGCAGGTCCTCTTGCGTATATAACCAGCACTTTTCCCACTGAGCCATCTTCTCATCCTCGTGTGTTTTTCTTGGGGCTAGCCTCAGCCATCCTGTTTTTAGAAGTGACAAAGTCTGAGTCACATTTTCATTCTCTAGTGCTCAGGCCTTCTTTAGCAGATGTAAATTCCGTAGGCGGGCTGCAGAGATGGCTCGGTGCTGTGCAAACGTGCGGACCTGAGTTTGCGGCTCTGGAATTACCATGAAAACAGGCATGACTACATGTGCCTATAACCGCAGAGCTGGGTGAAGGAAGACACAAAGACAGGTTTGCTAAGGACCGCTGGCTACCAGCCTGGCTGACAGACAGAACTGCAGGTTCCGTGAGAGGCTCTGTCTCAGGGGAATGGGTGAAGAGCAATAGAAGGAGACACTTGAAATCTCCTCCGGCCAGTACATGGGCACTCACACATATGCATCTGAACAACACACACACATACAAAAACACAGCAACAACAAACAACACAGACATCTACTCTCTCAGAAAAATGTCTGCAGCAACCATGGCACCTTCATGGAGCTCAGTACCAAAGCCAAGATGGCCACTGTGGGCCTGGGCATGAAGAAGTCTTCCCCAGACCACGTCAGGAAAGCCATGAGGGGACCATTAATGCAGGATATTGCCATGTTGACTGCATATGCTTATCATTACAAGAATGAAGAGGGAGAACATCCGAGGTCAGATGAAAGAGAAGGGTGTGAAGTAAGTAAGAGGACTTCTTCATTGTCAGCAAGTTGTGGGCCACCTTCTTTGAGAGAAAACTGCTGAACGGAGCCATCAGAAGCCCCTCAGGATCTGGAACTAGACTGTTTGGGCCTCAGCTTATTCAGTGGCCATGGGGACTTCAGCCCAGAGAGCTTTTCCCCAAGTGATAAAGTCAATGTTCTCACCAGTAAAATAACCTTCTTGGATGTGGGGAAGGTCAGGGAAGACCTGGTGAATGAAGAGTTAGTGAAAGTCCTGTGTTGTTGCTGTTGTTCTTTGCTTTGCTCTTTGAGGGTCCTGCCTCCCAGCTACCAAATAAATACACCCAGAGGCTTATTACTTGTAAATGCCCAGTTTTAATTTGGCTTATTTCTAGCCAGCTTCCCTTAAATTATACCATCTATCTTTTGCCTCTGGACTTTTATCTTTCTCTGTTTCTGTATACCTGTCTTTACTTCTTCCTCTGTGGCTTGCTGTGTAACTGGGTGACTTGTCCCCGGTGTCTTCCTCCTTATCCTTCTTTTGCTCCTAGATCCTTTTTGCACAGATTCCTACTCCTATTTATTCTCCCTACCTGCCAGCCCCACCTATCCTTTCTCCTGTCTACTTATTGGCTGGTAAGCTCTTTACTTGACCAATCAGATGTTTTAGACAGGCAAAGTAACACAGCTTCACAGAATTAAACAAATGCAACATAAAAGAATACAACACATCTTTGCATCATTAAACAAATGTTCCCCAGCATAAACAAATGTAATACATCTTAAAATACTAGTCCACAACAGTCCTGGGTGTCTCCAGCTTCAACTACTTCTAGATTGAAAGGCTCCTGAACAAGCCTGGATGGAAACATAAGCCCGTGACCAACCATGCTGACTGCTACCCATACATCAACCAGAAACGTGTCTTGCACTAATGTGATCTGACCAAATGTTTGTCAAACACCAGGAACTCTGGTAACACTGGGGATATAAAGATAATAAAAATATCAATAATGACAAACATTAAAAATAAAAGAAACAACACCTCAGTAGGTCCTGGAGATAGACAGGCTGTGTTGCTCGTCATGGGCATGCAGATTCTAATTCTGTCCCTGTGACCTGGGACAAGTTACTACACGCCTCTAGTGATTCTGGTTTGGATGATCTGATTGAGGGTCATTCAAGGTCAGTGTCTTATTAGGCAGGTAAACATAGACAAACTAACTCCATTTCTTGTACTTTTAAAAGCTATTTTAGTGATGGAAAGCAAGGTACTGATAAGCTGTTATTACTTCTTTTTAAACATACAAATATTTGTGCCTCCTACAGTGGCAGTTGAATCCATCTGAAGCTTACAGTTTTGATGCAAATGAGCCTGAAAGGAGAGAAAGTAAGTATTTCTGAGCGTTCTGTTGAGGCTGTGTGCTGAGGAGAGAGAGCAAGTTCCTAAGTCAGGAGATGGACTCATGTGTGGGTAGATGCAGGATATTCTCCTTCTAAAGATTAGGTCCATTCGGTCCATTGAGTTTGTTCGTAAATGTGTGTGCTGTCAGTGAGGAGCTGTGCAAAGTGCTGCATGCTAACCACTCCAGTCATGTAAATGACTGTGGACAAACTCAATGTGTAGGTTGCATTTGTTTGAAACAGTGAGCAACAACACTCTTCTACATCAATGAAAAAGCTGCTTGGGAGTGAGAGAGTGCTTAGCACAGATGTGTGAGGGCTAAGTGATGAGAGTATCTGTGTTCTTCTAGAGTAAAGTCACAGTAGCCCAGGCTGCTCAAAGAATGGAAAGATTCTGTTTATTCAATTACTTAATTAAGAAAAAAATATTGCAAGTGGGTAACTAGTCTTCACATTTAATTATTTACATACTAAGAAAAACCATATTGAATGTAATATATCTTTGAGCGTTCTTACAATTCCATAAGTGCATGATTTTGAACATGGTGCTCTCCAGTTTTATTTTAAAATAGTATCTTGGTTGTGACTGTCTGGATTCTAGGTAAATGGAGACTCCTGTATATT